TATTATACCCCCCTCCACAAGCAACCACTTTCACATTCTCATAATTGTTGAATTATTATTATTATTGAAAAACTAAAACGCGCTGCAAGTACGTTTCGCCACAAGGGGGCACTGATTTAAAAAATAACAAAAGATGACATTTCAACTTGAGTGTTAGGAGCGGCTGCACACAAAAAAAGCGAGGCGCTCGGAAAAACAGCGGTGGGTGCTGCGCTTTTTCTCCAGGCGGCTGCCTTCTGCTACAGACTGTCTCTCCTCATAGAAAACAATTGAAAAAAGACACTGGCACGCGAGGTGGACACGGGGCCTTAGATATTTTAGCGTAAGAATTCGACATATTACACCTTTAATTTGTACTCACAATTGTTGTCAATGATTTTCTTGTAAATGATATAATAAGTGTGAGTTTACGACTACATCTCATCGTCTGAGCTAAACACTCGTCACATTCGAGGATACTCTCGAAGTCACTGACTGTTCTTCTGGCTTTTGTATCATTGTTTCAGTAACAACATATTCAGATCTTTGTTTCAGTTCTGTGCTGTTGGATAACTGTTGCCACTGTGTGACCCTTGTTTTTTTTATACATCAGCCTTTAGTGGAATTGAATTGATAAAGAGGAATGAGAGAGACTCAATCTGAAAAGGAAAACTCTCCGTGTTCTGGTCTTAATTGCTGATTTCTTTTCCCCTCTGATTGAATAGACCTCCAATCCCTGTTGCTTATTCATCCCTTCTGTTTACTTGAACGCTGCTTTCATTGTTCCTATTTTCAGGCTCTTTTGTTGTGCAATACACACAATATGGCCCTAATGGATCCAAAAATCTTTCTGATGAAGATGGCCTTGTTACTGGCACGCCACAGGATAGTCCTTTAGGGAAAGCATTGTGCACCAAATTGTACCAAAAAAAATTCCCATGTGTGGTAGCCCCTATTTATGTCTCAGATAAAAGAAGGCCTTTCATATTGCAGGACAGAGAAATAAATAAAAAAATCTCTCAAAATACCTGCCTTTCATGTGCATCATTTTGTTCTTCAAGGTTAAAGGACATTTGTTACTGAATAAAGAGTGGGATGATTCTTTCAAAAAGTAGTTCTGGGAAAGATGAGGGTTTTTTATTTTACCTCTTACTTATTGGTGTGTATCAAAATGGATGAAAATGGGTTATGACAGAGGGTCTTACGCTTCAAAGCTCATTACATGAGAAAGTTACCTCGAACAGTTCTAAAACACAAAATACTCCTGTCTTACAGGAGTGTTTTGCTGAGGTTTTTTCCAGAGTTTTATGTATCATGCTCAAAGTGTGAACCTTTGTTATATGCATTTCCAAACATCCAAGCGTGTGGCAACAGATGGTGGACATGTAACTACATATTTACCTGTCACAAGTCATTTACAATGTAATTTGAATCACTTTCTCATAATCTCTGAGCCCGGCAATCTTCTGACAATTTGTAAAATGTTTTCTATTTTGGCAAAAAACAACAAAATGCACACTCTGACCTTTGACTGAAATACTGTAGCACCACTGTCCTCTTTAAGTTAAAGTTCTGAAAGCTTCTGCTCGGTGTGTGTGTGTGTCAGATGTTTGCTATGATTTTGATCATGAAGGCCGTGCTCTTTTATTCATTTATTTATTTTAAGTAACATTTTCTAAAATATCCCCAAAAGGTCTTATAATACCTGCATTGTTACATCTTGAATTAACTTTTGAAACACTCAGCGCTCTCGCCACATTGTATTTATTTCCACCGTCACATTTTCTGCCCTTCATGTTCTCACCCTCTGCGCTAACTCTGGAGTGCCTGTAATAAGTATTGACGTTAACTCAGAATCCTTTGCCTCTGTGGTTTTTTCTCCGACTATCCAGCAAGAAAAAAAAATCCATTTACTCCAGTTCATCCTTAGACACATGACTTAACTCTTGAGAGCATGATTTACGGTCAAGAACAGCAGCGCAAACACGGCACTGGCTCGGTATTCCTATTCCCAAACAATTACCCGAGTGCTTTTTGAACCTAGGAATTTGATTGGTCTTGCAGTGGTCTTCTGTAGGGAGCAGAATATTGAAGTGCATGAAGAATGGATGAAGGTTTCGCTCCTCCACGCTGAAGATCACAGCGGGGCTTTCGATGAATTTGAGAGGGTTTCAATACAATCTTATGAACTAGCTGTACAATTTTTTTTCTTTTTAATTGTTTCGCTTCAAGAGCGTTATGAGAAGTGCTTTCACAATAAGAGAGAGAGAGAGCACCTTCAGAAACTCATCTCAGCAGAGAAACCCAACAGCGACCCTCTGTCCGCCTTTCTTTTAACTTTGTATTAAACCTAATTGGGGTGAAAAGGGGCATGTTATTATAGAGGACAATATAAATCAGTTAATATCAAGCTGTATGTAAATCTGTAGCATTTTCATCCTCAGCAAGAGAGATAGGTGTTTGTTGTATGCTTCAGCCATATCCTCAACCTTTCAGTTTCGTGATCAGGGTCAGCCTTATATACAGTACATCTCTCTTTTAATATCATCCGAAACATGGTTTTGTGTTCAGTTTGTAGGAACCGATTGTACAGATTTAACGTTCCACAATGTTTTTCTGGGATTTGTATGCTCCCTGCGTCAATGGCCTTCAACATTGTTCCTCCTCCACAACAAACCGACATCAAAAAACATAATTTCTTCTTTGCTCAGGTATACAACGCCTTTCCTCTGTCCTCCAATGTAATATAACCATCATGGACACTCACATGTATACATCGCCCGTCTGACGGTTCAACGTTCAAGGATAAACCCTGCACAGATGCTTTAATTGTGTATGTTGTATACATTCAAAGGGAACAATGAAGAGTCCCGTATTTTCTTGATCATACCTGAACCCACAACCCTTGGTTTCAGTTCTTCTTGTCTTGGGATTCAAAGAACAAGCCGGCCCTGTTAATACAGTTTTGTTTGTTTGCTTGGATACTTTGTGGATTGAAACAAACTTAATAATAAATCAATTCTGCTCTCCTTGGTGTAAGGAGGGAATCCATATAAAACAGTTTTTATGTATACCGTTTTCTAAAGCTGTTGTTTATCCGTTGAGAACGTTACCAAGGTAAAGGCCAACCCAAACAACCCTGCTGCTTTGACTGCAACGAAAACGCCCGCGTGCTGTTTATTATACAGAGACTTTGTACAACAGAATCCTCAAACAAACTACCCATGGAGGATCTGAAGAGCAGTAACGGCAAAATGAAGTGTATGAATGTCATTGGCACTGAGTCTCTCCCTTCTCCAGAGGTTCTACCCTCATGAGCTTATCCTGAACTCTGACCTCTGCGTAGACATAAGCAAGGGACCACAGAATATCTCTACAGGGATATGTTCAGTATCAGTATGTTATGAATTTAGTCCATGCTATTTGCATGAGACACAGGTATGGCCAGGGAAGAGGATTTTTGTTATGCACGAGCAGCTTGGATCTCTAGTCGTCTCTATGAATTTAAAGTATGTTTTTGTTATTTTTAAAGATTTATTTTTTGGCATTTTGTGCCTTTATTGGAGAGATAGGACAGTGGATAGAGTGGGAAATCAGGGAGAGAGAGAGTAGGGAATGCACAGGTCGGATTCGAACCTGGGCCACCCACCTGGAGGACTACAGCCTCCATACATACATCCATGCTCGGTAACCACTGCGCCACCAGCGCCCCTGTACAGTATGTTTTGATATGAACAATGATATCTATATATATATAGATATATATATAGATATGAAGTGTTTTTATTTTGTCTCTTTATTTTTAAGTTGGCAGAAAGGGAAATCAAACAGCAGAGTGAGCATGTGCAGTCATCATATAGCAGAACAAATTCTTCAAAACGTTGAGGAACACGATTGATCTGAACTTCATTTTATCGATTAGTTAAGTCTGTAGCTGACAATGATAAATACTGATAAATACTATGATCCGTCTTTGTCTTTGTATGGATGGCCTTGTGCACATTTGTTTTCTGCTCTGTTAGGCGAAGGTTAGACTGAAGCCTGTATGAACTGGAGCCAGACGAACTGGTTAGAACGGATATCTAAAGACAAGACAGCGCTCCTCTGAACGAGACGATAATCTGAAAAAGTATATGATGCACGTGAAATATAGTGTTTTTTTTGTTTGTTTGCACAAGCCTGTGAAATACTGTTTTTATAAACGATGACACAACATTTAAAGACTAAGTCATTTAAAAACGGATCTCTTTGAATCAATCCTAGAGTGCAATAGAAGAAAACACGAGTGGTTGTCACCTACTGCTGGGAATCAAATCAAATGCTCTGATATAAATATATACCGCACGACATGTTGTTTACCTTAAACAACCTTTAACCCCCCAGCTGACTCTTTCTTTATAAGTTTTTTTTCCCCCCACATTCAATGATTGATTTGTGTCAGACCATCAACATGATCACATATTTAGAAGGAGTTCCTTCAATGTGTCAGTCAATGAACCCAACAGAATGGACCACATGAAGGATTGGCTTTAGCAGGAAAGTATGGTTTCAGAATGAAACACCTGCTAAGCGCTCTTTTGTTTTTGGCAAATAAGATGGCTAAAAAAAAAATGTAACTTGTGAATCTGAAGTTAAACACAAAGTGTTGAAGTGTTGTGGCAGGAATGCTTCACCTTAGTTGTACAAAAGCGTACTCTTTTTCCCCTTTTTGTGGTTAGGACTGAGATGACCTTGCGATGACCTTGGTGCTTACAGACGTCTAAAACATAAGGCCTCTCTTTACAGGGTTTACATGTTTTAGTTAATATTTAGTGTTTTCTGGAACCTGAAACAACATCTCATTATGCTCCTCAAAAGATTCCAAAAGCATCTTAAACTAAAAGTTGAATGATTGAATTTGAAACAACATATTAACTGGGATTATACGTCTTATAATTCTCTTTTATGAGCCTTAGAGGGAAACTGTTCACTGTCAAATCATTCTCAATGTTCAATTTGGGACTAAAAGGAAGACAAAAATGTGCACATACTAAGTTGCTTTTATTAATACAGAACTGCATGCTACAGAGACTGTACAGCATAAACATTTATTCATTACAAAAAAACATGGTTCGTTTGGAACCATTTAAAATAACAGGGAAAAAAACAAACAAACAAACAAAAAGATAAGAGCATAAAATAGAACAGGAACATCACAGCCGTTAAGGAAACATTCAAACTATTTATCATTAGCATCTTAATAAACCAGAGAAGAAATCGACAGATTACAGTCGCGTCATGTCAACTACAATGGCACCGAGTGGATGATTCTCTTGTAGCTTTTTTACAGCCTCTTGCAACATCAACATGCCTATTTTTTCTATCTACCTATATGTAGTAGTGTACTTAAAAGTGGCAGTTTGTGTATTTTTTTGTATTTAATAGTTTTTTTATGAACCTCCTAATATACATAATTTGGCCCTTGTGGGTTTATACAGTATGATGTCCGCCTTTTTATTAAGTTTAAATTTTTATATTTGACAATTTGCTACCAAACACATTTGTTATAGCAACATTTATACTACATACATAGCAATCTATGTAACGTCACAGCAAAGAATGGTATCCAAATGAAAAGGAAACGAAACAAACAACAACGAAACGGAAAAGAGAGAGATCCCTACAGCGTGGTTAGAGCGGGGCAGAGAGAAAATTATCACAAAATTTGGCACGGAAAATCTGTACACGAATCTACAGTCTGAGGGATGTGACTGTGCAATAAAAAAGAAGGGCTTTAGACACGTTTTTCCAACTACTGAAGACACGGCACCCACTGTCTCTTGTTTCAAGTTTCTCTTTTCTTCTTGTTTTTGTTAAATGGCTTATAGACGCATTTCTTGAAAATGAAGTTGTGCATACTTCTGTTCATGAGATCTACACAGTACACTGAGTGGAATCCAGGTTTTCAGAGAGGAAAGAAAATCAATAACAAACCAGTTTGCCTTTTTAAAACCTCCTTGTAAAAATGGATCATTCATTTAGAAGTCGCTTACCTTAAGAAAAAAATATTTTGTACAATGTATTAAGAAACGAAAAAACAACAGAACAAAAAAAAGGTCAAAAAGAGACACGTACAAGATACAACAAGCAATCTCTAAAGCAATAAATACTACTGGTCCTAGCGTTGTGACATTTTGAATTTAATAACCCTCAACCCTCCCACCCCGACCTCCCCTCAAGCCCACCCAACTTGCCTGACTCCACCCCATAGGTAAACAACAAAGAAAAAAAAGACAACGCAGTGGAAGAATGCATATTTAACACAGTAATCCCCCCCCTCCCCATTATTCTGTACATTTAAACAAGAACAAGTAACATCACAATTAAAGTTGTTCCTCAAGAGAGGTGTCACCGCTAGCCTCATGCCCTCGGAGAGTTTGAACAGATGTCAGATGATTGGTTCGCGAGCTCGTATTTAATACAAATAAAGAAGGAGAACCAACTCTTTCAAGAAAAGGGCTCATTGAATAATCTAGCCTACCTTTTTATATCCGTCTTTTTAAACATTTGGAAGTGGAACTAAATATGTGTTTTCTGTTTGCACTGTTGAACACTACAAAAAAAGACAAAACAAAAATTCATAAAAATTTTGGCAGATTCACAAAGCTATAACTACAGCTCATTGTATCATTTCTTTATAATAATTAATTTTTTTTTGATAATGATGGGTCAAATATTGACCAATGAACTTTAATAAAACAAGAACTCAAATTTCAAAGCCTTATGGCACAGAAACGGAAAAAGAGAACAAAAAAACAAAAAAAAAGAGCTGACGGTCAGTGAAATATAGCAGAGTGAGGGCCTAGAAAGGTGTGTGTGTGCAGAGCTAGAAAAGAGGAGAAGAATAGGGCAGACTATTCTATAGACTTGGTCACTAGCGACAGAGGCTGAGGGGCCGAGGAGGGGAGGAGCGAGTGGGAATGACACAGCGATGCCGAGGACCGGGCCATCGAGGACGCCACAGAGGAGCCCGGCTGCCGCGAGGACGAGACGTCGCCGCCATGCTCCAGGGCTCCATTGTGGGAGGAGGCGCCGGGCGTTTTGCTTGCCGCAGCGGAGTTGTCCAGCTGAACCAAAGATGGCGGAGGCCCAGCCAGGAGGTGCGAGTGGTGGAGTGGCTGGTGGGCCGGTTTCATAGTCAGTGAGAGAGGTTGCATTTGTTCAGTCTGAGGTTTGGACTCTTTTGAGGAGGGGGAGGGGGCCACTGAGGAGGGGGAGGATGGGGGGGAGTCTAGTAAGCTTCCGTCCGTAGAGGGAGGACTGGCACAGCTGCCTTCACCTTGGATGTAGCGAATGCACTTTTTTTTTCTCCTGAGGGACAAGGCGAAAGAAAGAAAAACATTTTTAGCATCTCATCGTCAAACTGTATCGCCTCTTAGCACGGTTGCCTACTGAAATGCACCTTCGCCTCTCTAAATAAATAAAACAAATCACCTCTATGTCTTCTTTTAGACTTTCTAAATTGCTATTCTGATTAGTAGAATCTCTTTATTTCAATTCTAGTTGGGTTTCGTTCCCGGGATTTGACATACCACCTGATATTGTACACTTCTTAATTGTGATAAATCAAGAACTGAGGACACAAATATCATTCGGCAGGTGCATTTAAGTAGCTTAATCAACCTTGTGCTAAGATAGAAGATGGCGGTCAGTTTCCAAATACAAAACCATCAGACAGGACAGACATGAAGAAAAGATAAAAGGTGAAGCACCGGGACAGGAAGCAGCGGGGAAATGAAACGCTCACATAAAGATAAAGATGATGATGATGATGACGAGGAGGAGGAGATGAGAGGAGAACAAAATGAAGCAGATATATGATGTAGTAATGTTTGCTCTCTTGTTGTAAAACTAAGCCTCTCTTACAGGCAAAGCTACAGCTGGGGGATCAGCCTTCTTCTTTTTTTTTTCCTTTCTCTGCAGCAACACAAGGTTACTGGACCTGTCTCCCTCCTCTACCTCTACTCTCTCTCTTCTCCTGAGGGGGGAGAGTTTGGATACGAGGCAATAAAAAAAAAAAAAAAAAAGAGAGTCAACAAGATCCTACACTACTCTGCAATCTGCCCCACAGACACAAGTGTGTGTGCGTGAGGGGTCAAGGCACCATGTTTGCATTCTCGCCAGGGGTCGGGACCCTCCCCCCCTTACTGCCTGCTGAGTCCTGAGGCCAGGCCCGTTTGCGCGCCGTGGAACCCGATGGATGAGCATGGAGGGTGGGTGGGGGGGGGGTGGGGGAGCTGGGAGAGTGATGCTATTGTTGCATTTATGTGTGGTGACTTTGCTGTGTTCGGATTTGGTTTAGGGGGAACACGCTATATAGTACATCTGCCTCATCTTTAGCCTGACCCTGGAAGTGACCCCTCTCTCAGCTCTCAATCCTATCATTTTGAAGCCTGAAGGCCTCCGAGCAAGTATTTAAAACTAACACTGAGTAGGTAAAAAAAAAAAAAAAAAGACTAAGAATGAGAAACATATGAGGCCTACTCTGTGTTTTAATTTTGATATCAGATCAAAACATTCCCCTTCAATTCTAAAGGGGGAAAGAAAATCTAGGTTAACCCCAAAAGGAGAGCAGACTACAGTGAATAATAAAAAAAAAAAAAAAGAGGGACATGAAAAGATCACATTAAAGAGCTAACAAAACCTTGATTGCATGCTCGAGTGAGGGACAGGCATGCATTTCCAGTAAGCACACAACAGCGGACAGTAGAGAACACTAGAATAAGTCTGGATCGAGTAGGGAGGCTTTTAAGTGCACCCTACACTGATGCTGCAGCAGTGGGTGGCTCAGCGTATCGACCGGCCGTAAAAAGGGATCATTTTGCCACTACATACACATCTTGCCCTCGATAACTGTCTGTCAAACTGCAACAAATGAGCTAATATCCATTTTTTAACAGACATATCGATTCATAGTATATGCCTGTGTATGTTATTGATTTCTCCCCCTCTGGGGAAATTACACCAGATGCATCTTTTAGGAAATGGAGCCCAGAGAGAACTTTTAACCTCTCGGCTCCTAAAACGGAGACTGAAGCCTTTTTTTTTTTTTTTTTTTTTTTAATCTTCTGGTCTCATGATCTGATATTATTGTTTAAAGAGTAATGGAGCATTTTAGATCATGTTTTATCAGCTTGAGGGGGATAAGAGTGCTAAAATGGTGGACTGTTAACTACTAAGTGTGAGAAATGTCTTTAAAAAGAATCCTACAAACTGCTCAAGATTAGCTCTTAATGTGAAAAAAGAGGCCACATTGCCAACCACATTTGGTCTAAAAGCCAGCATGTATAAACTTAAAAAAAAAAAAAACAACAACAATGTAGTAGAAGAAACGATGAGAAATAATGTGTTTGAATGGTTTGAAAAAGTTGCGTCAGGAAAGAGTGGGGCACGGTGTGATGCAAGCCAGACACAGAGAAGGGTATTACTTAGCAGAAACAAATACCTACCATGAAAATATTCCCAATTCAAAGACTGCTTGTGTCAGAACAGAAAGACAACAGGTAGGGACTAAGTAAGGGTTATTGAAGAGGAGTTTGGAGGAAGAGGAGGTTGGAGAAGGAGGAGGAGGAGGAGGAGGAGGAGGAGGAGGAAGAGGGCACAGAAAAGAGTGTCACTGAGCAGGCCCTCATAGAAAGCAGGGCTAAATTTGTAAGCATAACATTGTTATTCAAAAAGGACGCCAATTAGAACAAACATGACAGTTAAGATGGGAGGGAATTATCCACGGCCTGGAGAGAAAATGGATTTCAACCATAGCGGGTCAGATCGTTGAAAAAGACTTGTTCCAAATTTCATTAAGAAACCAAGAGGTTCTAGCAGGATATGACGCTGAGATTTAACATTCAGAGAGTTTATTTTGAAATCCATTTTCTGCTGCTGGGCTTGAACTGAGTTTACTAAAGAAAAAAATCGCTGTGAGGGAATTTACAGCAGGAAGCTCCTCAGTTAGGAAAAAACAAAAAGGAGCAGAGAAGTTTGCCATCTGTTACCACGACGATGGAAACATGTAATAATCTTAAGTAGAAGAAGAAGAAGAAGAGGAAGAAGAAGCTGCACATTGTGGATGTCTTCCTTCCATTTGGTACTACAGCAGTTATACCTGCATGGTTTGCACCATAAACTCAGCTGGTCAAGCCCGAACAAGGCACGACACTTCTTTGGGGTATTTGCATCTGTTAGCCAGAGGTAGACACAAACATACACACAGAGACAAAAAAAAAAAAACGAAACAAAGGAAAAGAAAGAAAAAAATGGACACGTCATTGCACAGACAAAAACATGTAGCCAGGGCTTAGGTTTAGGCTGGTAAAAAAAACTGGGATGTCCTCCATATTTGACCCCCAGATCCTCCAAGCCCCGACCTGCCAGTTTCTGAGCACTCTCTGTGAGGCTTTTTTTTTTTTTTTTTTCATTTTTTATATCCTGCAATCAAAAAAAACCCAGAATTGTTCCTGCATTGTCACATACTCACTGACACCATTCACACAAACACTCTGGCATAAAAATGTTAACATCCATCTTTCCCCCCCCCCAAAAAAAGGAGCTCAAAATCAAACAGTGGGAGCCTAGAGATAGACCGGCAGGGCATGGCTGGAGGAAGCTGAGAGGTCACAAAAAGCCTGCGAGACAGACTGAGGGGGAAAAGAGGAAGCATCAGCAGAGAGAGCGAAGGAAAAAAAAAAAAAGGAGGAAGTCCCAGTGCACAGTTAACCCGGCAGCCTTCACCTGGCCCTGGCTGGTGCAAGCACACACCATACACACCTGCACGGGCCACACCAGTTATTCTGTTGGTCGAGCCCAAAGCGCGCTCGACACTTCTTAGGAGCGCTCAGGTCTGATGCGGCGACAGGGAAGGGGGGAAGCCAGCAGAGAGAAGGAGGAGGAATAGAACCCAAAAAACCAAAACCATAAGGAACAGAAATCCAAAAAGGAGGAGAGAAAATGAGGAGAAAAAACAGGTAACAGTGAATCTATGAAGCTTGGCAGTGGCTCATTGTGCAAGAAATCCCCCCCCTCCCCCTTTAGAAAAACCCTTAAAGCCATTCTCAAGTCTGCCTTTAAAGATAGGACTGAACACAATTAGTGTGTTTCAGAGAGTAGTCAAATCAAACCGCATGCAAGTGATCAAATTAAGACTTTAATGTGGAGAAAAAAGTTGCTTTCAGTCGTGTAATCTAAACTCTGGAGTTAAAGAAGCAGATAATATGAGCTTATTCGGTCGAGGGGATAAAAATGGGACAAAATGCAGATTGGATTAATTTGCTGCTAGATGTTATCAGTGCACTATGGTTTCAAAGACAAGGTCAAAGTGGTAGAACTAGGAAGCAGGTTGGCGAGTTAGCCCGAGCCAGGGGAAGGATTAAAAAAAGGCTGGAACCTGAAGAAGGAATCTACTCTTTAGACCTGGCATCAAACAGTTGACAGTTTTCCATTGACTTTGGCTGTCTGTTGCAGAAACAAAAAGCTGCCAGTCACTGCAGCTCTAACCAGTAATTGTGTCATTATCATGGGTAGAGCAGAGCGACGGTCTTCTAGTGTTTGAGTCCAGGCCTTGTGTGAGTGAAGGCAGATTTAAAGTCGGCCAAACTCATGCTGGCCTATAGGAAAGGCACGAGCACGGCTACTAAAGCATATAGATTAAGGAGGTTTACCCTGACATAACATCCTTCAGGTCATACAAGGATAATCTAACTTCATAACATCACTTCTTTAAGCATACTTCATGGTGATTCTAGCTGAATTTAGAATATGCTCTAAACTGAACAGCAGCATGAGGACTTGGAGGTTCAATCAAATAGAATCTAGCTTTAATTCAATTCAACATTAGCAACATTTTAGAAAAGATAGCAGCAAAGAAAGAAAAAAAAAGAGCAAAATTTAACCTTAAGCCTGCCTCTACTATGTTGCACATTCATTGATAAATAAATAAACAAGAATTAAGTAAGAAAAAAATGATATAGAAGGAAATATAAAACAAAGTTAGTGATTTAATACTCAAAATGACATTAGCACCTGTAATCGGAGGGAGTGAAAGGCAAGGGTTTGGAAAATATTCTCTGTGTTCTGAAAAAAAAGAACAGATAGAGAGGCCTTCAAGAAGAAATCCGTCACCAGATGAGCGCAAAATACATAAATATCAAGTCGCCATGTATCCTCACAGAACGATCAGAAGGGTATGAATCATGAGAATTTAAAAAAATTAAAAAGAAAGCAAACCTCCTTAATTTTAAAGGTTTAAGTGATTTTTTTTTTCTCCCAGTAAGTGGGTATTAAGAAGCATGCATTAAAAGCAAGCAAAGGGGTAGCCAAGCAAGTACACACACACACACACACACACACACACACACACACACACACACACACACAGTACTGTAGTGCAGTTTTTCTGCAGGGCACAGGCATTATAAAACGGGGGCCACGCACACAACACTAGCAAAGTTAATGGCTTTCACAATGCTTCAACTTCACATTCTCAAAACATACATATCACAAAACCAGAACGCTAAGGGGCAAATGGGGGGGGTGTCAGAGGGGAGGTGAGAAGGAGTGTGGGGGGGTCATGCATATTCAGTTGTTATTAGCTGGGGAAGGCTAGGGGGGGGAAATGGGGTAAGAGGGGGGGTATTACAAGCAACTCTACCATTTAAATATTGCATTGAGTAGCATATCTATACCAAAAGGAAAAAAAAAAAAAGCCAGGCACAATAACACACACACAAAAGAAACATAACACACTAAAAAAAACTAGCTTGACTTTTATCTTGCAAGATGTCACATCTGCCTGACACATGATGGGGCTCTTCTAATATGGGAGATAATTGCAGCTCACTTACCATTGCTCTCTGCTTGCTGCTTTTCCCTTTTTCTCTTCTTCCTTTTCCCCTGTTGGTTAGCCGCCAAAAAAATAGAAAGAAAAAAATAGACACAGACAGGAACCTTAGTTATTATATTGCAGAATGCCCAAAACATGAAACAGAGAATAGGACTCATCTTTGTGTGTTTACTTATTTATTCATTCATTCTTTCTCTGCCTTTTCTCCTTTTCTCTCTCTCTCTCTCTGCCCTCCGGTTTGTAACAGCAACTGCAGGCCGGACTACAATCCCCCCCCCCCCCTTCCCTCCTCTTTGTGCTTTGTGCTCTTTTATTCTTTTTTTCTGTTATCTTTTGTCTTATTTTCCTCTGCTCCTTGAATATCTAGACATCTTGACGAGCTTCTGGTTTAGGAAGACAGATTGCTCTAATGCTGCTTGATCCAGTCAGCCTGATCCTAAAAAACTGGACACTTCTGATGAAAGCCTGCTCCTTTCTAAGTCACAACAAAGTGTCTCGAGAGCAAGCCATTCACATAAACAAGATAATCGTCAGACTTTGTCATGAACCAACTTTATAATTAGAAAGGCCAGGATGGAGGGGATGTGTCCACTTTCAGATAAACATATCAGAAAACTACAAGAAGACAGTGATCCTTCAGGCTGGATTAAAAAAAAAAAGCTTGTGTCACCGAGCGGAAAAGGAGTAAAGAAGGTGATCTTCCTCTTCCCCCTTACGACTTGTAAACTTAAAAACTTACATAGTTGTCTCGTGCTGACCAGCCTGGGTACAGCTGCATGTGGAGCTGTCGCTCTTTCCTGGCCAGCTCGTAGTACTTGGCCTGCTCCTCCCGAGATAGGGCGTGCCACTGACAACAGAAACAGAAAGAATATTTTCACCATGGACAGGAAATGTAGGTATGAAGGCCGTGAACCGGACTGAAATCTATTATACTGGCGCTGAGAGTCACCAAGTTAACCTTTGAATCTTCAGATGAGCCTGTGAAACATCATTATATTCTCTGCTTGTTGCTATAAGCTTTTATGATCTGGAAAAGAAGTTTTCCCTCCACACTGATGTCATGTGCTTTCTTATTATAAGATAGATGTTGGACTTCTAAAAACACAATCAAAAGTATGTTCTGGATGTATGACTGATATATGTGTAAAGGGTCACAATACACATTTGCTGTGATTGGACGCTATATCAATAAAGACTGACTGATCAAAGGTCATTGACCCTTACAGTGTTGCTGTGTGCCTCAGGTTCTTTAGGACTTACCCTCCGCCCCAGGATCTGGTTGATGGCAGCACTTTCCTTCAGTGTGCACTCAGCCACCACCTTTGCCCGCATCTCTTTCATGTAGAGCATGAAGGCATTCAGAGGCTTCTTTATGTGGACCTGTTTCTTCTTCTCCTCTTCCTTTTTAGCATCTGACTGTTTCCTGTGGAGGATTTAAAAAAAAAAGAGCAGACAAATTGAGCAAATCTGAACCCCACGACTAAGTCAAAGTGAGATTCAAAGTTCAGGGAGGTGAAAAAAAGTGTACTCACGAGCTGTTTAGAGAGCTGATGTCACTGTGGGAGGATTCCTGCTTGACGTTGGGTGTGACGATGGCGGGGTGTGGGATGCCGGTGGTGTGCAAACTGTGGTGGGGGGGCACCATGTGTGGGGGGAACCTTGAGGACAGAAGACTGTGTAAATCGTCAGAATGGACACAGGTGAAATGAGAAGATGGAACACATGTATACACAGGACTAAAGGGGCTCAATTCCATTCCAGACTCTCAATTTCATGTCTGTTTTTTGGTTTTTTTTGACAGTTGCTTTCATGGAAATGGAATTGGCCTTAAGTCACAAGATAAGACATAAATGCACATACAAACAGTAACATGAAACTGTCCAAGCCTGATTCCTGTCTTTTAAAAATCCACCACCAATTAAGAAATATTTGACCAATGGATATTAGTTTGAGGTCAAATGATTTAGTTTGAGTACAGACTCCAGCCTGGACAGATCAACACATCACTCAGAGATAACATAGTAAATAACAGGAAACAAACAGCTACATTTGATTTCAAAAAGTGATACAGTGTTAGTCAAATTATACAACTTTAAATCCCTTGAATGTCACATTTATACAACCCCAAAGAGTGTCATGAGCAGTAGTGATACATATTCATGTCAATGAAACATTTTGGCTTCTCACAGTCACAAAAAGGCTTTTCTTAACTGCTACATCAGAGATGAAACTTATCAAGCACTTCCAAACCCAGAACCCTTATAGTGTTGAATTTCTGAAGGGGAAACATTAATACTGTTGTTTTAAAATAAGATTGAAGGGAAATGGCTTCAAATTACGATTTAAGTGACAATGAAAAACGTCTTTTCATCTGTGGATGGAGAATGACTCTGTCTTATATCTTCAAGTCATTTGAGAAAGAAAATGCACTGTTACAGAAATGCCAGGTTTTTGGAGAGGTAAAGCTTGAATCACTTTTCTCACATTTTGCAAGCTAGATTAAAATCCTCTATCAAAGTCTCGTATCACTACAGGTATTGGGTCTCTATTTGATTCCCCCATTTATTTTTCCTGTCTATTCAGCACTGTCAGCAGCACTGACATTTTTTTTTTTTATCTTCATGCCTCTACACTCCTATCATCATTTCATCATCTCCAGCAGCTCCACATCTCTAGTCCAGGAACCTCTTTATTTTTTAAATGGTTTCACTGGCCGGAGCAGCCATAAGACACAGCTGGGCTTTATGTGCCATTGTGTTGTGTGTGCTGTAATTATCCGCGTCGGATTTATTTGTACGTCTCCCCGTCTATCTGCATGTGTATGTTTACAGCACCTCGGCTCCACGTGACCACACACAAATCTACGAGAAGAGAGGAGGATGAAGGAGAAGCAGAAAAAAGGGAGGAATAATTCTTTTTTTTTTTTTCTTTTTTTTTTAAAGCAGCTCATTATCCGGTTGTATCTGGCTGCATGGCTCGGAGCCAGAATATAATGATGAGGATAAACTCGCCAGGAACAACTAGTTTCTGTTGGAGGCCATCTCAGGGGAGTGCCAGTTCGCTCCCCCCTCAAACTATTTTCCTCTTTTTCTCCTTTCCCCTCTTCCCCTTCATCACTGACACATTGGTGTTTGTGCCATGTCATGCGTTGATGGGGAGCTCGGCAGCACTGGCTGCATATCACCCATCATTAGAGCTGCTGCATTTTCTCTCCGCTCACTCCCGCTTCCTCCCTCCTTCTCTCTCTGTGCACTTGTTAAAATTTCCTCTGTTCCAAGATCTATTTTTTCTTCTCTTCTTCTTCTCCTTCTCTACTCCTCCCTGTCCCCTCACCCCCTCCTCCTTCGTTTCCTTCCACCCCCCCCCCCACCCCCCTGCTACCCTCCCCTTCTTCCTCCTGCTGCCACTGCATGGCCCAGGTTATGGTTTAAACATGATGGCCATCCCTTTGAAGCGCCGGGGCATCATCATCATCACCATCATCTGGGCTCATCAGCGGCAAGCGGCACCTTGGACCAATTTAACCAACACAGAGAGAAGGAGACGCCAGCAGATAACCCCCACCCATCCACCCACCTACCCCACAACCCCCCGGGGCTCCTACGTCTCAATCTGAAAGGTATGAATGGCTGGCAGTGTTGGGGTGAGGGGGGGTCACACACGCAGCAAGCCCAGTGTCAGCCAGTGCCATTTAATTGCCAATGCGTAGCGGTAGCCCCCGTGCCTGTTTAATGTATAATGATCCGGCCGGTGCACTTCCATTCCCGAGGAAGAGAGACGGAGCGGGATGACGGGGGAACATATCAAAGGGCAGGCTTAAGCGTAAGGGGGCAAAGGGGCCTTCACATCCTCCCACCTGTCACACATACATTCACACGCACACACACACACACTATAGGGGACCTGCACTGGCTCCAACCCCATTATCAAAATAATGTCTTTCATTTGTTCTGCTGTCTGTCTCTACTCTCCTTGGCTCTTCTTCCCCCTGTCCTAAAACGAATGTATTTTTTAACAGGACCTAAGTGTAAGGTGTTCATCGCAGGACTACCGGGTACCACACCTCATTCGCTGCATCCTAATTCAGTCCAGCCTACAGCACAGGGGACTGATACGAAAGAAACTCAGGCCAGCCAAGAGTACAAGGCCAGGACACGTTTTTACTGTCCGATTTCCTCCTCTTAAGTCTGCTTGCTGCAAATTGTTTGAGCTATCACAACAGTCTGCTCCATTCTTTGAACAAAACCAACTAGCTGAAGGCTGTTTTTGAGAGGTATCTGAGCGATTTATATTAGATTCTCTAAAAAAAAAGAAGAAAATCATCTTTTCCCTCTGCCTTGCAAAATCACAATTGGGAGTGTTTTTTTTTTTTTTTTTTTTTTTTTAATGCATAAGGATCTTTTTTGTCCAGAGGTCTGTTAAACCCCCTCCCATTCTCCAGAGAGCTCCCAGAGCTCTCCATCTATTCAGTTATACTAATTCAATTAGGGGGCCTCATCACAGGGCATTAGTGCTCCCCCATGGCCAGTCCCCCCACTCCCCAACACACACACACACACACACCCCAGCCAGTATATTCAATTAACTACACTGCAAATAAGATGATCACAATGTAGAGACTGTCATTAAAGGACCAAATTAGCAGTCACTTAAAGCCCAGGTTGGCTGGGTGCTGCTGCCAGATGCCGACGTCTGGGCAAACCCGACGTCTGACCCCTTTGTGGCCTCAGGAGAACCTAACTCTAATCCAGACACCCTTTTTTAAGAGTTTGTTTGAAGAGAAAAGATTTGAATTCAATACACGAATTAGTAGAACAAAAGCAAAGACCTAGCAGCAAAAACTAAACTTTACCACATCTCTTTGCTTTCCCTCTAAAGGGCTATACTTAAAAAAAAAAAAAAAAAAAAGAAGGTAATTCCCCCTTTGTGGCTTCTCCCTCCCTTCCTGCATCTACACGATCCATCAATGTCACAGAGGTCCAAACAAGCCGCCCTCAGGAGCTGCTTTTCCAATCAGGCTGTAATTAAACTAAAGCTTGGCCTCATCCCTGGACTGTTAACCAGCCCCAACCCAAAAAAGTCCCCTGCTGCAAGGGTGTGCACAGAGGAGGAGGAGGAGGAGAAGGAGCTGAGTGAGCAAAGAAGGAGGAGGAGGAGGAGGAGGAGGAGGAGGCTGCTTGTTTTATTTTGTGTTGTTGCTTTTTTGGCTGCTCCAGACCCAGAAAGCCATCCCAAAATAATCTTTTTCCCACCCAACACTGAGGACATGCATCCCCCTCAAGGGAGGAGTAAGTAGTTTAACACCAACTGACAAACACACACACACACACACGTGTATACAAGATGGCAACGAATACACATATAACCCCCATGGGTGCGCTAATGTCCACAGCAGCACTTGAGCTGGACCCTAATGGGGCTGGACCAAAGCACTAGCCAAGGCGTCGGGGTCCCCGATCTTGTATCATGTAGTCCCCTTCAAAGTGTCGCGCTGTTTGTTTGTGTGTCTGGCTGCTCAAACTCACAGCAAGGACATGCCCCGGCTCATTTCAGATCTGCCTGACATGCAGTGGGGGTAAATGTTCTTCAGGGGCCTCATTAGAAAATGATAAATATAATTAATATTTGAGCACGCTAGCTGGAGCACCACACTGGAGGATTGGCCTTTTGAACACACAGAGATGGGGAGTGTGGGCTCTCCTTAAGGGAGAAGATGCACAAGTGAACGTAAGAGTGAAGTGAGAAGGTGTGTGCGTGTGTGTGTTTTTATTCTCCTAAAGGCTCAACTCACCTTGACATGGATGCGTTGACAGTGAGCGCAGTTGGGTAGGGGTGTCTGAAACCCCCTGTTGTGATTGGATAAACAGGTTGACCTTGCCTGGAAAGGGGGGGGGGGGGGGAGAAAAGAAGAAAGGCGTGTTAGGTAAAAGAACAGGGTTGATGGAAGAGGAGAAGGTAAAGCCCTCTGTCTCGCTCTTCTCCCCACCGTGGGCCTCTTTATTCTCATTTGATCAGGACAAAAATCTAGGGGATTGCAGAGCGCGGATCAAAGGGAGGAAAACTCTGAACAATTTGAATGCCACAAATCTTGATAGCGATGGCTAATTAAATTTCATAACCCTTCGCTCGGTGTCGACAGAGTGGGGCCCTGTTCCTCCCCGAGCTGGAACTAGGTGTTTTGTTGTGATAATTAAAGACGAAGCGCGGGTCTCTTTAATGGAGCCATCACGCTAATTGAGGTCTACACATTCAAAGACAAACAATAATGAATGTAAATTTATACCAAAATAAAGTGCAGCAAATCAAAGGGCGCCGTGGCTGCGCTCGGGGCCTCTCTCGGTATTTAGATCGCGGTGAGAAAACATTAAATTAACAGAGCTTAATTTGTAGCCTTTTGTCATATTAACAAGTGTTGACAAGAGTTACCAGGGGAGAGCCCCCGTGTGGAATTGTGGGTAAAATACGGGCAATCACGGTTCATTACTCTAATTGGACCATACAGAGACATGCAAAATAGAATTTGCCAGAAAAGTAGCAAGTTGAGGTTGGTGAGGGCCTGAGGAGGCTGCAGTGGGCTGCTGCGGTCCAGGAGTGAGTTTTTTAAGAAAGTTAAAGGATCAGGTTTAAGTTTTAGAGGCTGCAGGGAGAAGATGCCTTCTAAGGAGGAGGAGGAGGAGGAGACAGACCCAGCTTACATGTTTGAGTCTCTATGTACAAGGAATAACATCACGATGCAAAGTATGCACATTAAGGGTTGGATTTGATTGTCTTCAATTTGAAGACAACGCAGTAGAAAAAAGGAGTAAAAAAGGTTTTCGCTTACTGTGGTACTAGCCATCCTAGTGGATGGGGGATCTGGCCGACAGTGCCAGGTGACAGTGGGTAATAAGGAGATATATCTGGAGGATGAGGAGGCCTTGGAATTCCTGTTGAAGAAGGGGGAGGATAAAGGAGCAGAGAGGAGGTGGACAGACAGGGAGATGACAGAGAGAGAGAGAGAGAGAACCAAATCTTTGTTAGAGCTCAATTCAATTCTTTGTCGAGAGTTTCACATCCGAACGGGGCAGACATCACAGGAGTGCAGATGGGAGGAAGAGGAGGAGGAGGAGGAGGAGGAAGAGGGCTTGTTGCTTGCATGTACACACAGTGCTAAATCACACTTCCTGATCAAAGGCCTTTGAGGCTGCAGCAGCGGCGGCGGCGGCACAATGTGTTGGAGGGTGAGAGAGGTGAGGAGAAAACACCAACTCGATTCTTGTCACATTTGTCTGCTGATTCAGGAGACTAATGATGTAAAATGACGGAGGTTTAGAAGTTAACAAAACACAACAATATAATTAAAGCCTTCACTGTGATCACAGAGCTGCTAATACTGGGCTAACGTTTGATTCCTGCTCATTTACACACACATACAGGCTGGATGGACATGGATTAGTACCATAAACAGGCTGAAAATCAGCAACGTTTTTTGTCCATTTCCCTTTTTGGTTCAAGTTGGATATTTTTGGCTTTTGACTTTTAATCATTTGTTGAAGCTCAGCAGTTAAACTCCAGATGAAAATATGAACAGAAAGTAAATCAGCTCATTGGTCCACATTTGCCAAACCACATAATTTACATTTAAAAAATGCAGCTTATGTTGTTTCCTATCGCCTGCAGATGAATGGTGACAAAGATGAAGAAAGAAAGATGTACAATCTAAGGACAGCTCTTGTTGCGGGCATATCCGAGCATCTGCAGTGTTGCTCTCACTTTCTGTGGCAGATGACAGGCGAGAACCACATCGACAAGCTGCCCTAAAACAAACGCCTTGAAAAGGTCTCATGTGTAAAAATAACTTTCTCCCTCGTGACAAACTTGAAACAGGGAACACTAGACATGTAAAAAAAAAAAAAAAAAAAGCGCAGTACGGAGGTGTGTGTGTGTTCAGTAGATCACAAACTGGTGGGACTTATATTTTGGCTTTCTCTACCACACAGCTGGCTTTAGCCTGCGCAGCTGTTGCTGCAGTTATTCCGACCTGAGGAAACACGGCTGAAGCAGATCCAGTCTTCGTAGATCAGAATTGGCTGCTGTTGGTGGTTACACCCAAAGTTTGCAGCTGATCTGCTCCAGGTTATATCCAGGAAGCGACTCCTGAGAGGGATTCTGTTACTGATGGACAATGTGCTGTGGAAAACTTCTCTTGGTTTATCAAAAAAAGGGAAGTTCTATTTAAAAAAAAGAAAGCCTTGGCACATTATCTCATCACCACCCAACGCTGAAGACCTAATATGGCTCATTAATTAATTAAACACTGAGGCCAATTAAGCAGCCCCATTAAGCACTACATTAAACAGCAGCTGGTGCATTATTTCCCCCTTGTAAGGACCATCATAATAAGGGAACGTCATTACCTAAAGCATTGACTGAATACACTAGAGACCACTGGGAAATGCATTAACCTGAAAGGGTGAGCTGAATGACAGTTAACAAAATAAAGCGCTGGGTCAAGAATCACTCGGAAATGAATGAAATTGACATAAAAAAAAATGTACGCTGAACGGTTGTGGGAGAGGGATGTGTGGGCAGATGCGGACTGCTAAATGTGGAGCAGGATCAACAGGCTGTAAAAATATAACAACCGTTCTGACAGGAACTGAGGTAATCATTGATAACCTGAAAAAAAAAAATCGGAATATTCAGGTCACACATTTTTTGTACTAATTCTGATACATTCTTCCAAAAAGACGGCCTTAGAGGTTGCTCTTTGGTATTCAAATGCGATGACCTACAACTTCAGAGGCTGTTTTGTTTCAGGTCTTGGCAAGTGGAGTTGTGGTCATGGGAAGTCGAGGCTGAATTCCATGTTTTACAGTACATCTATGTCGCCACTGCAGGTTTTTATACTTGAACGATAAGGCCATTTGCCACTGAACCAAATCAGCTTCATGGGCATGAATGATTGCCAAATCAACCAGTAACAGCTGAGAGCAGCAGTCCTCTTAAAGAAGCAATCCAGATGACTTTGCCCCACTATAACTTCAACCACCTCCTAACAAGCTGCAGTTGAGATTCTTCGTCATTTGAAAGAAAAACTGTTGACAAATTGAAGATTTTCTTCAAATAATGCTTAAACAAAAGGGTTCCTACCAAAGGTGAAAACCCATATTATTCTTAAAGATGCAGCGAAATCGACATGTGACCTCTCCTGTTAACATGACATCTGAATGATTCTTTAATCTCGAGTTGTTTTTACAAGAATATGTCTAGAGACAGACAGACAGACGCCACGGAGACAAACAAGAGTGTGAGCTGAATGTGTGAGACATGGTGGCAGGGCATAATAAAACATTTACACAGCCAGCAGTGCAAACAGTTCTGAAGAGGAGAAGTGCCTTATCTAAGGAGAGCTGCCTCTGTGGTTTTCTCAAACTTTTCAGGCATATTTTCTCATCTGTTGAAACACACTGGGATGTTCAGAAGTTTCATTTAAAGCTGTTTGAACATCCACTGTTTCCTACTAAGGTTTCTTTTTTTATCAAGAGTCAAGTAGCATGTTGCTAATGGAAATTCTATACACAAGCAAAATCCACACACTTTTTTCAAACATGCATGCATGCAATGGAAGAGTTCTTTTGGGTTTTACCTGTTTTGGGATCCACGTCTGTCTGTAGGTGAGGTGGGGGGTTCCCCGGTGTGAAGTGCTCATTGCTGTAGGTGATCAGAGGTGTGAGAGGGTGCACATGGTGAGGGTGCTGTACCACTGGAACCTTATTAGACTGAGAGAAAGGAAGATAGAGAGAGCAGAAAGAGAAAGGGTGGAAAAAAAAAGAAGGCAAGGGTGTTAATACCATGGGTTAAAGATCGTACACGCTCGCCACAGATTTACAACTCGGTTTGAAGGCACTCGGAAAGAAGAGATATCAAATTCGAGGTACTCTTCGGGCGCCAAACCGCCAAACCACAGTGAAAGTAGTGTGGTTTGTAATTAAAAACACTTCTGCGGTGACACCCTGGAATCCAGTAACACAATCTAAGCGGCTTTGGGGGGTTGCCAGTTCACATTTGGGTCTGATATGTGATGGGGCACTTTTAACCGCGGTTGCAGTGAAGTAATCGATCATCTGTAAAACCACAAAATCAAGGCAGCGCGTGTAAATCCACAGTCATTAGCAGAGCCAGTCAGCACTAACGCTCTCCTCCTCCCTGCTCTCCAGCCTCCTCTTCCTTGCTCCCCTTTTCCCCTCCTCGTCTATTCCCCCAGGGCCCCCATGGTTCAGGGAGAGTAAGGGGTGTATTGTAATAAAAGGGTTAGGAGAGAGGAGGTGGGGCTGAAAATCCATTTCTGCATTTTTGCCAAATTAGTTTTAGCTATGTAATCTTCTCTTTGTGCTCCTAAGTGGTGCAGGCCTACTTTTTTTCAATTACCCAAAGATTACAGTGGAGCTTTAGGGGTGTGCTGCCGTGGGCCCCTGTGTTAACCAGAGCTCAGCCCCTTCTCATCGGGGCTGGGCCCAGACAGACACTAATACACGCGCAGTCCCCGTCGACCAGAAGATAACCAGATTAGAGCTGTGCTGTAGATTAGACCGCTGGAAGAGGCTGCTCTCGCCTCTTTACCCACACATCCTTATCCTGCCCTCAGCAAGTCAAAGAAGCAGCACTAATCAGGCTTATCATAACATGGATGATATGTTCGGGGGGGGGGAGTCAGACACCAAGCTGCTGGTGTGTGTGTGTTTTCTGTGTATGTATGTGCTCTTTCAGAGGCCACACAGCCTCATTAGTGACTTTAAAACCCATGCAAGAAAGGAGAAGAAAAGCTCCACTGTGGCACATTTGCAACTGACTTTGAAAAATTGAGGGACGAGATGTTTGGAAGGGGGAGTGGGGGGGGGGGGGGTTATACATACACAAGATGCTCATTGGAAATACAAATGCAATTCTGTGGGCCCAGGGTGAGACAAATGTGAGTCAAAACTAAATGTTTAACAAGCTTAAAGACCCACAGTCCATCCAGATCTGGATCCCCAGATCCTTTTCACAGTGTATCTTGATTTTCTTTCCCCCCCAAAGTATCTCCTGTACAATCTTGGCCATCTAGACTTCCATTCTGTAGTGGCAGTAGTGGAGGAGAGGAAAGTGGGGGTTGGGGGGGTGGGGAGGGGGCATTCCCTATTGCCATGGTCCCAATGAAAGATTAATGAACCCCAGCAGAACTCCAGGGAGGCAGAGGGACTCCTGGGACTCATTCACAGCCCAGAGCTGAAAGGCTATGAAGGAGAGAGAGGGGTTGGGTGTGTGTGTGTGTGTGTGTGTGTGTGTGTGTGTGTGTTTGTGTGGAGGGGGTGGGGGTGGGGGGTTGAGGTGGAATGGGGTTCGTTAAAACGAAACACAAACCAAGGCAGTCCTCGTTGTGCTTCCTGATCTGCACATGGAGAAATAGAGGGATGAAAAGGAGAAAGTGGTCGAGAAAACAATCAGGACGGAGGTTATGACAGAATGCTAGACGATGGCCTCCTTCTCCTTCGCTCCCTCTCTTGTCCCCCCCCCCCCTCCTATCTCTCACCTCCTAACCTCCTCCTTCACGACTCCCCGCTCCTCCCCTGGGTAATGATGTGAAAGAATGTTGTCAATTCTTCATCTCTTGGTGCTGAAAAGCTTTAGTGGCCATTTAAATGAGTTCTTTTGTCCGGGGGCCCCGGCCATTGAGAAGACAGTTCAAAAATGCCCGTCCACAGAGTCCACATTTAGACAGAGGGTGTTAGAGAGGGCGTGTATGGGACACTGAGAAAAGGGAGAGAGAGCTAGAAGGCAGACGATTTACATCACAGTCCCTTTCTGGTCTGAGAGTGTGCTCTTTTTTTTTTGTCAGGAAAAGCCTTGAGCAAGTCCAAAGCAATGGGCTGGACTGCTGTCTTCACAGTCGCCTAATTCCACTACAGACAGAGGCTGAATAGGAAGACTAAAATCAAAGAAGTCGGAAGAAGAACAACTGAAGTAGTTTGTCTTCCCTGCTTTTGTCTTTTTAAAGACCTTTAGAGGTCTTTTTTATTTACTTATATATGAAATTTCAAGATTTCCTTCATATATTTGCTCAGCTGTCGTGGACTTCCGGTGGTTTCGATGTCTTCAATCAGCTCACCTTCGCACCAGAAAGTTGCATCTAATGACGTCAAGCCAGCAACGGATGGTCCCTGCCGGAAAGAGACGGCCCAGCACCTGCCCTGTGGCCACTGTGGGACAAAACAAGCCCGGGACTCGTCTGGCAGGCTGCGAGGCCTGCTTCAGCCGCACAGAGAGCCGCCCATAGAGAAACAAAAAAGCAGGCAACGTGGGAGGCTTAACTCTCTGTGCTCCACAAAAGCCAGGGGAAAAGAAAGAACATTTCCTGCCCCTTACACCCCCGCTGACTCGCATCCTTCTCACCCACCTCCGTCATCATTACAACAAACAAATATAGCAGAGGACTAAAACAGGCACGCCGCTCTGTAGTCATGATGACCAGGTTTTTCAGGCTGCAAAAAAAAAAAAAAATAGATATTCAGAAGACCACCGCAGGAAAAATTTAAGTGCACAATACTCTTGTTCAAAGATCAATGAGAACATTGACTTTTTTTTTTACAGGCTCAGGACACACACGGCGCCTGCTGCTGAGGAAGGCTTGAACTGTGAGGAGCAGGCAAGCTCACTTAAAGAAGAGCAGACACAAACAGCAGCTTCTGGTTTTGAAACTGATACTTTTTGGCTCAATCTATTCTCTTCTATTCTTTCCAGCTGCAAGACACATGTGTCTAAAGGAAAGGACACGACAGTTCCTGAATTTCACACGTCATTGTTGTTATTTTGATCATACTCTATTCAAAAGGAAGCTTCTGGAAAATACCTGTATATAGAGGCACCAAAGGCTAACAAACAGCACTGTGTATTTGGTTAAAAAACTTCTGAATATGTATCTTTGAAGGTTTTGCAGCTACGACAAGAAACTATCTACATGGTACAAGATTTAATGTATAAACTGATTACTAAACGCTGTTCCATCACCATGTCAAAACAGCCTTTTGGATGTGGACACATGAATAAGCAGCTTCAAGTGAGACCTCTGGGGAGAGAGAGAAAGAGAGAGAGAGGGGGGTACAGGAGGAGGCAGAGGGTGTGAGAAAGTGACAGCAGGGCCGAGTGGGACAGAGGGAGGGAGGCCGAGAGGTGGAGGCCCCGGACAGGAAAAAGCTGTTGGCCTTGCATTTCCGCCCGGTGGCACCTCGCAGGGGCCAATTTGAGCCCTAAATGTAAAGGTGGTGACCTTGCAGGCCCGGGGGGGGGGCGGGTGGAGGAGGAGGAGGAGGGGGGGGGTAAAGCCTCCGTCTCTCTGCTTTATGTCATGATATGATGAGTTGTCACAACAGCTTGCGGGGCGCTAATGAGCTGTAGTGGAGGCCAGGGCTAGGAGAGGGAGAGGGAGAGAGGGAGATGTAGGGATGACAGAGCCTTGATGGATTGAGGTCCTCTCAGGCCTCTAAATTCCAAAGCAAGCAGAAAAAAAAAAAGCTGCCAGAGCGCTCTGAGCCTCTCCCAGAGCGTGCAAGTGGCCCGCATCCAAGGCACATGGAGTGACACCACGCAGTAAAGCACACACACACAATAGGAAGTTGGGGGAAAGTGTCAGAAGAAGAGTAATTTGTATGTGTGTGCGAGTATTTGATTTGAGCACAACAGAAAGTACAAACTGTGCTGCCACCGGTCTAATGAATCATCTGGTATCGTTCAATGTCATCCTGTTGGAATCTGTTTACACACACGAATGCTGTTCTCCTCTGGGAGGTATAGAGTGCCCTCTCCAGGCTTCCATCTTCATCTCATTGCAAACACCATATCATACTAAGAAACGTTCACACACACACACACATTTACAGACACACTCAGTCAAATCAGTCCTCACATTCAAGAAGACAATCTAAAGGAATACTTAGAGTTTTAACGGCAATGGAATATGAAATGCTCCGACAAATTAAAGGCTTATCAGAGTCATGATCCTCCAGCATAGCAAGGCTGATTAAAAAAAAAAAAAAAAAAACCCTGCTACATTTCAGAAACCCTATTTCTTGGTTAATCATTTGAGAATAAATTTTTTTTTAAAAAACCTCCATAATATTAGGAGCCTGGGAATTGTAAGGAGGAGCAAAAAGGATTTAAAAAGCAGATATGGAGGTGTTGATAAGTTTTCCTCTCTTTCGCAGGGAAGGATGCGTCTCTGAGGGCAAGGGGCTCTCGAGACCACAGTGTATTTAAAAGTTAATCTATTCACTTTGCTGCAGTGACATGCCGACTGCTTGATCACAGCGCTGAACAAAAATATTATGTGGGCCAGAGCCTTTGCTCCCCTTCCTCCTGCTCTCTTTGCTAGCACTCAAGTCGTTCGTCACCATTTATTTTCGCTTCCCATCTTTGATAGTCGGCACATCAAATGGAATCGCAGAAAGGACATGTTCTGACATGTCACAGATAAATAAAAGTGTGCACAAATAGCTTAAATATGAAGTGGTTTTTTTTTATTCGGTGGAACTGTTGTATACTGTGAAGACAAATCGCCTCTCAGGGCGCACGTGTATTGAAGCTTTTTCTTTCAACGTAAACAGCCTCTTGAGCTCTCCAACATACCTGAGTTAAAGGGGGGGGGGGGGGGCTTCTCTGAGAGGTGATATTGTATCACGGTGTTAAGAGCCACACTGAATTCAGCCTTTTGAAATGCAATCAGCTCCTCAGAATTTCAGTTAAAAGC